CGCTCTGTCCCTGTAGTTCTTCTTTCCAGGCTCCTTGGGAAATTCATTTCTTGTATAAGGATTGTGCCTTGGGCTCGTCTACACGTCAGGGAGCGTCAGTGGTTCCTGCTCCCATATCAGAGAGCCGGGACGAGAGACACCGGCTTCAAGGTTCGAGTATCATCCCAGGTGCTGCTCTCGCTCCGTTGGTGGATGACCCCAGCACTAGAGAAGGGCTCCCTCTTCAGGGAACCAGCGAGGAAGATACTCACAACAGATGCAAACTTGTTCGGCTGGGGAGCACACCTGGAGACCCAAATAGCCCAGGGCTGCTGGACTCCAACAGACCTGCGCAATAACATCACCTGGTTGGAGCTCAGGGCCATCCATCTGGCTCTATGTCATTTCAAGACCACTGTGACCGGGCACCATGTCCTGGTCTTGATGGACAACGTGGTAGCCCACATGAACAAACAAGGGGGCACTTATTCCAAGGCCCTTTGCGACGAGGTCCTCTGGTTGGGGAACTGGGCAGAGAGGCATATCCAGTCCCTCAGAGCAGAACACATCTCTGGGACAGAGAACCAGCAAGTGGATTGGCTCAGCAGGGAGACAGTCGATGACGGAGAGTGGCAGCTCCATCCCAGCGTCTTCCTACAGATCTGTGAGAGGTTCGGGCACGCGACGGTAGATCTCTTCGCAACCCCAGCAAATGCCCAGCTACTGAGCTTTGTATCAAGGTTCCTGTCCAGGGGAGCCATGGACACGGACGCCCTTTGCTGCAGATGACCACCAGGTCTTCTCTATGCTTTTCCTCCCCTTATCCTCATCCCCGGGGTTCTGAGGAAGTTAGTGTCAGAGGGAGCAGAGATGATACTAGTGGCTACCTTCTGGTCATGTCACCCCTGGCTAGCAGACCTGGTGGAACTCTCCTCGGCTCCTCACTGGAAGATTCCCCCGGGGAAGTTGTCTCTGCACCAGGGATCCCTGGAGCATCTGGATCCAGAGTGGCTCCATATGACCACCTGGCAATTGAGCGGGAACAACTAAGAGGGGCCCATTTCTCTGCTAAGGTCATTAAGACTAGCGAGGCAGCCATGAGACAGTCCACCACTCGCATCTACACCGCCTCCTGGGTCACTTTTGTGGACTGATGCTGAGCAAGGGACATTGTTCCAGCTTCGGCCTCCATACCCCAGGTTCTGGATTTCCTATAGGAAGGTTCTGGAGAAAGGTCTGGCCCCCAGGACCCTTAAGAGACAAGTCTCTGCCCTCTCCACAGTCCTGGGGGTGGTGGATTCCCCGCCTTTGTCCCAACATCCATTGGGACAAAGAATGCAGTGACATCATCTTGGCCACTCCCACCCAGTCACATGACTGCCAAGTCACTCCCATATGGTCACATGACTGCCAAGCCACTCCTACTCGGTCACATGGCTGGAAAGCCACTCCCACAAAGCAGGCCACGCCTACAGAAGAGATTCTAAAAATTTTTGAAACCACCACTGAGTATTATAAACACGTAAAACTTTTTGTCCCACCCCAGCAAATGGATATCCTACTTATAAGGAGCCTGGGAACTGGCTGTATTATATGCAATATCTTCCCTCTCATGATCTTGCTTATTTATGTTCATTGTTTATACTTGGTTTCATAGAATGTTTTAAAGGTCAGTTTTACTGTACACTACCCAGAGTCAAATCACATGACATGGGTGGCTATATAATTTTGACAAATCGGTAAATTTATCCATCAAGCATACTTGGGCATGCAAATGCATACACTTTTGTATTAATTACCTGGAAAATAAAGCACGGCACAATATATATGCATCTCACCTCCTTCATGAATTCTAACTTCCCTCATGAATTTTAACTTCCCTATTTCAGTGGCTTGTATTTTGTTTTGTGTGTGTTATTAAAGCATTAGTAACTTATTAAGCAAACTTCTCTCAGTTTTCCATTCCTACATTATTCTATTCAGTCTAAGATAACAGTAGCAGAGACGTGATTGATCATGACACTGTACTGGCTAGACTGAAAAAGAGTTTTAAAGATACACATTTATCATAAACAACAAAATAGCAATCCAAAACATTTATTACAACATCACTAAAATCAGCTATGTCAGAACAGAACAACATATTTTGTTCCTTTTTTCAAACCTTTAAGAATCCATATTTTGTTTTGTTTCATACTCGAAACAGTTTTTGGTAAGTTGGAATATTTTCATGTCAAAATGCCTTAGGCATCATTTATTATCATGGTGTAAAAGGTTGTACTGGCTTGTTCTTTGGAACCAAACTCATTATCTGCATTTGCTGCTTGATATGATATAATGATCCTTGCCTACCATGAAGGCAACTTTTGTTTGTCTTATCTTCAAAGGTAATCCCTTCCAACTCTGCCAAGCTCATTGGTGCTATGTGGTCTGTTCACCATACTTAATTTTTTTATCTACAGTTCTTCTACTCCACGTGGCTACTGCATATTGAGGCATCATGCCTCTTTTGCCTGGGCTGCTGGACTGAACTGGTGAACCTTTAATAAAGGGCTAGAGTTAAACTGATTGTTAAGGTTCTGGCTAATGAACCCAATTGTGTCAGCACTCCAAGACTTTCTGTTTCCTCAAAGAACTGCTTTATTGAGTACATCATTTCAGCACAGATGATCCTAAAACTAGCTCTAGTTATTTCCTGTGGTTTCAGGATAGTTAAAAGTTAAGAGATTCCCCCCTCCCCTAGTGTCACAGGTCACATTGTCCAAGTAGGTGTTCTTATGTCTCCTTGATGACTAGTCTCAGTCTCTGACTGGCACATGCTGGGAACGACTTTGGTTCCCATGAGATAGTAGGTTGTTTTGACTAGTTCGGATTCTACTCCTCCCCCCCCCTCCCTGAGCTGTGTGGCAACTTGAGAAACGGAAGATGGCTAGTATGGGCTTGATCCATTTCAGAGTTGACACTGATCACTCTAGCCATTCTAGGTGATAGCCACAATGATGGAAAGATGGTTTTCATTGGTCCATCAATGGACTGGGTGTGTATGCTTACGATGAGTAACTTTGGCACTGAGCAGGGGTTTGGAGTTTTGGGTTCTGTGAATACTAAATGTTGTTTATTCCCTCAAATAGAAACAAATGTTAAAGACCTACCCAAGGAAGGGAATGCAACTGGTACTTGCTTTCCAGGTGCACATTGAGTGGTGGTGGTGGTGGTGGTGGTGGTGGTGGGTATCCATCAGCAGAAATCATGATAACCATTGATGATACTGGCCAACATCATTGCCAAAGTTGAAATCAGAACAGCAATTTATTCACCCAATTTATTCATTTCTAGCCAGTATCAGCAGTGGGGATGAACAGCATAAGATTGCTATGTGGAACTGTTTTCAGACTTCCTGAATGTGCCATGGCAAGCTCATTCCTTGCTGGCTTTCTCTAGAAAGACAGCTTTTGTGAGGAGAATGGACTACTGGATACTGGAACTACTAGATACTGGATCCAATCTGGCATAATCTCTTCAGAACCAAAGAGAGATCATTGAGATAATCCACATGGCTCCTAACAGCTCTATTTCATGAGTAGACCATGGACAGTGAACTCTTTTTACAGTCATTTCAGTGGAGTGGAGTTGTCTGAGAGTTAGAACTACATTAAGCTCACACTTGCAAAGCACTCTTTATGTCTATTAACCTTAACCAAGCCTTATAAATTACTGGTATATTATATTAGTATACTAATACATATACTGCATATATTGTATAATAATGTATATTATTAGTATATGTAATAGTGTAAATTTGGTTTAAAAAATTTTAATATGATTTTTTTGGGATCATACAGCAAAAGAGTGCTTAGATTATGGATTATTGAATATTAATAATGGCCAGAGAAATTTCGATTTTTTTTCATGATTGAAGCAATGGGGAAGAACAAGAGAGGACACAGGGTCATGCCTAAATAAATAAAGGAGGCAAAAAATTGAACCATTTGATCAACAAGGAAATTGAGAATAATAATAATAATAAAATAACAAATGATCTCCCTGTAATCACTACCTCCGTTATGTACAATATATTGAACTGGGATTTGGAAACAGATATTTAAAGATAATTTACTCCTCTACTTTGCATTGCATTGCACCACTTTGAAGGGGGGGGACAGCATCAATCACCAAAAGACTGCGCAACAGGCTTTGCTGCAAGACAATATCTATTAGTTGCATAAACTGCAATTCCAATTTTTGAATATTTAACCCATACAAACACAAACGTGGACTCTTTAAAAACAGTCTCTGAAACTTTCATACAAAATTATGCAGATATGCTAGCAGCTTTCAGGTACTAAAAATATTGAAACAATTCCAATCGGTTTACTGGTCAACCAAATGAAAAAAATTCCTCAGGGGAACTAATTAAGATTAGAAAAGACAACAAGTACAGGGACAACTTTCAGCCTCATTTCCTACCAAAGAAACCCAAATTAATGCAGCTATATATTTCCATTGATTTAACAGAACTAACATTGCTTATTGTTAACATTGTTATCACTGCTCAACACAACCATTGCTGGTCATTGCTCTATGAGAAGAGTTATCATTGTATCACTTGGCTCATTTCTTCAGTGCTAATATCATATGATTGATCTGAGTGCTATCAAATGGTTTCTTAGAATGTTAGCCTATAAATTAATTCTACTGTCCTTTAACTATGTCACCATCTCCTGCCTGCTGTTCAAAAAGAAATATTTTCTTTCTAATGTTCAAATATACCTACTTCATATTCTCCAAAATGGAAATAGGTCTGTACCAGTGGTAGGATTCTTTTTTTTTTACTAATGGTTCTGTGGTCGTGGCTTGGTGGGTGTGACATGGCTTGTTGGGTGGGTCAGGGAAAGGATACTGTAAAATCTCCTGTTCCTCCTGATCATTCAGGAGGCGGAGAATAGTTGGGGCGGGGACAGTTAGAAGTGGTATTTATTGGTTCTCTGAACTACTCAAAATTTCTTCTACTGATTCTCCAGAACTATTCAGAACCTGCTGAATACCACCTCTGGTCTGCACTCCTTGGCTTAACGTCTCAGGCATGTTGGTGCTAATGAAGTTCTAGAAACAGGATTAATGAACTCTTGAAACCTTACCAAACTGCAAACAAGATGAAATATTGAGAACACTGGATCAATTGAAAGAAACATGGCTGTTAAGAAGAGGAGCAGCCAAACCTTTAACTGACCTGATATCTTTGGGTTTGTCATCTGACATTTCTGCAGATCATCACTATAAACTCTCTGAATCCTACAATCAAACTACTCATCCAAAAAAGGAAAACAATCTACATACTAGCAAATCCATATGTCCTTCTATCCCAAAACAGACCAAATTGATTCCATCTTGTTCACTTTCAGATAATAATGATCTTCATTGTGTTTTATTAGAGGGCCTAGTTCAGAAAAGAAGACAAAAAAGTTGCTGTAACTCAGGGCTGTCAAAGTCTCGGGCTGCGGGCCAGATATGTCATATGCTGGCCATACCCATGCCCGGTTTAGTAAAGAGTCCCGATACATCATGTGATGCTGTCATGATGACATGAGTTTGACATCCCTGCTGTAACCAATCAGCTTGCAAAACCAGCCAGGTACAGGGGTAGCAAATTAATTGTTATATTAGTCCAAAGCTGCTGTCTTCTAATAATTCTCATCTTTTCTCCAAACGCTCAAGGTTATATAAAAGAATAATACCAATTAGGCTTATTATAGGCATATTGAAGACAGACTACTACAATCATTGCAACATATGGTGATGTCTATTTTACAGATCAGATACTGGATAGTTGGATAGAGAGTAATATAGCATTAGTATTTAAAGAAAGTCAGATTTTGTCTCACCAAAAAATTACCACCATTCTATAATTATTGAATAATGATTTTAAATTATTTATGATAATTTTAAGTGAGAGAATACAGATAGTTTTAAAGGATATTGTTCATGAAGGTCAGCTTCAGTTTTTACGTAAAAACAGAATTAGATAACATTAGAAATGTATTGGATATTTTGGAATACATGGAGCAACATAATGAGAAATGAGCAGCATTAATTTTTCTTGATGCAGAAAAGGTCTTTGACAATTTGAACTGATTTTGTTTAAAATTTTGGGTGATAAGGTGTTTGGTGAGAATTTTATCAAATACGTAAAATCAATTAACATTCCACAAAAGGCATAGATCATTGTGAATGAGTAATTAACAAAAATTGTGAGGAGACTGGTAAGGGATTAGGCAAGGATACTTTGTCACCATTGTTATTTATTATGGTTTTTGAAGTATTGTTATCAATCAAGGTGAGATAATTTCTGGAGTGAAGATTAAAAGGGAAATTGATAAATTAAAAGCATTTGCTGATGACAACTTTGGAAGACTCTCTAGAAGGAATAGAACTATTAATGGAAAAAATAACAGAATTTGGGATATTAGTTGGCTTTAAAATTAATAAATAAAAGATGACAAACAATATGACTATTGAAAAGTGAGTGGAATCAATGGCAATAATATGTTTTTCTATGCCTACGGTATGTCTTCCTTTAAATAGGAATACATGGATTTTGCTATGTGATGTGCCCATTTGTCCTGACTGCCTAAAATGTAAGCCACTGCTTTTTGAAAAACAACAATAACAAAATTGAGATGCGAGATACTTTTATAAATATAATTCTTTAGCTTTAAAGGCACTTTAAAAGCTACCCAACAAGCAAGAAAAAAGAAAATGGCAGGGTGTTCTTCCTTTTTTTTATGATATTGCCATCCAATTTCTTTTCTTTCTAGCATATAGAAACTTATTTTTTTTAAGCAGCCAACTAATGTTAAGTTGCCAAAAAAATGTGAGTTAGGGATCAACCTTTAAATACAGCTATTATTCAATCCTAAATGAACAGATCTTGATTAGGAAGTGATTTACTTTGAACTATTTACAAAATAAGCTCATTTCTGTTTATATACTAACTGAAATCCACTCTCAGAAATCCAAGGAGGTCCTCCTGCCCTGAGGAGGAAACTGATTCAGCAAGAGTGCATGAAATGACAGTCTCAACTCTGGAAAATTTTTGTAGCTCGGGGTTGAATTGTCAGGTTTACTACCAGACTCCATCTGGTAATGAGTTGTCTAAAGAAGAAAATCAAGTTCAGTGAACACAAGTTAAAAGATTAAGATCTTTTTTTTTAAAAAAACAACACAGTCTAATGAACTCTCCTTACTTTTTTTCAATTAACATATCTCCCAAGTCTAAAGGAATTGAGGTCATGAGTTAAAGTTATATTTGAGGTTGGTGAGCAGATACAGAAAATGCAGCAGTAGCCAAGAGACAGCAATGGATCAATGCAGGGACGTGCAGTCAGGGGAGGCAGAGCCTCATCACTGTCATCATGAAAAGAAAAAAATATAAAAGGAAAAAGGCAAGAGCTGAGGTCAGACTAAGCTATTTGCTGCCAGAGTCCCCATGGATGACTGTGCTTAACTGTTTAAAAAAGCCTCTAAAAAATGCCCTCTACAGGAGGAGACAGGAGAACGACATGCCTCATCTACATCAGGCATTTTTCAGCTTTTACCCCGTGCTTAACTCTGCTCGAGTGATCATAAAGTCAGACTAGATTAGGCACGTCGTTCGCCTGCCTCCTCCTGTAGAGGGCACTTTTTAGAGGCTTTTTAAAACAGTTAAGCACTAA